CGTTTATTCCAATTTAATTGAATAAAATCAATCAAAATTCTTTTGTTACTGTTTCCATACCTCTTTTTAAAAAAATGCGTGTAATTTGATGGGAAGAAATTTAAAGTCTCTTGAATAAATGACCGTCTTTCGAATAAATGCGATTCGCTGCAACTAACTTGTTGAATTCGGCATCGGTGATCTTGTCCAAGCAGATCATGCCCAGTGTTGAGTGAAACGGATGTTTGTCTTGGATATGTTTTTCTAGAGTTTGTTGAGGGAAACTTAATTTACAATGTTTGCATTGCTGATTATGCGTCTTAATATGTTGTTTCATCAGAGTTGCAAGCATTTGCTTTCCACAAGTTAAGCAAATCTCCATATGTTTACGATCCTTATGGCCTTTAAGAGCTTCCTTTGGCATTTGATTGCCACATTCGTCGCACGTATGAACCTTTTCCATATGCGCATCATAATTGCTTCGTTTCACTGGATTTGGGCAATGGGGACAATCGACCAAAAAATCTTCATCACTTTCATCATAGTCGTCGTTGTTGTAGTCATCCGACGAAGTAGAGTAATCATAACTGTATGCCATTTTACAGAATAACACAATCGCTGAGAAAAAATAAAGAAAAAAGAAGAAAAATTATTCACTCAAATAAAATTTGATAATTTCAATGAATTGATAATATCGTTGTCTTATGTTAAATTTCACATATTTTTGACGTAAATCAATATGAATTTTCAGAATTCAACAGTTCAAGGTCATTGAAGGTGTATTCAATAATATTCATCATTTATTTGAAATCTCTGCATCACATTAAATTATCTTAACTTCATTGTTTTTTTTAGCCCAAAAATGTTTTATACACTTTGTATCTAGAAAATGAAAGTTGAAAGAATAGACGTCCTTGTATACCTTCACTTTCACTTTTTATTATGCAAAAAAATGGTCCAAAATTACACTTTTCTCGTTCTTTGTTTAGAACTTGATCGTAAACGCTTTGCTTGTTAAGAGTATTTTAAGTTGTCAAAATGGCTACGACTCTTTTTATAGCTGC